TTTGTATTACTTGCAATTACTAATTTTCAATAAGTAATGCTTTGATGAGTTCACAGTAAATAAACTCACAGTGCTGGAGAAGCTGCATGTTCCTAACACAGCTGATATTAAATACAATAGACATCCAGCTAAACCAGGCCAATCATTTTCGGGAAACAGAAAAGAAGCTTTCCTGAGTTCCTTTGGCATTGAATCAGAGTAGGAACATTTTAAAATCCTCCCAAAACCAAACCTTTTTGCTTTAAAGAATATTCCTTTAGAGGCACCATCTGCATATAAATCATGTTCAATATCAGGGGAACCAGGGAGTCCTGGCACACACCATGTAACCAGCCTTATTCCTCCTCTTTCATGTCTCAACTCAACTAGCTAATAGGGGAAAACATTGATGGCTAAAATAATGAGAGGAGAATTGATAGTTTGATCGATGCAAAAAAGAAATCTAATTGTCCCATCAGATGTACATACACAGCAAATCATTTATTCTGATTATTTACTGCAACTTAGAGGTGCAGCAGTCAATCTGCACAGCTGGTGACAACCTCACATAACCAATTAATCAATTCATTTCATGTTAATTAAGTCGCTTAAAAAAAATCATAACCTCTCGTACAATTAAAGCAAGCTGAGAGATACGAAAGCATCCGGAGACGCTTCCTGTGCAGCAGGAGTGATAATTACACAGGTTTATGCATCCCTGGTTACTACTGCAGATAATAGAGACATGCAGTCAGTGTCAGGGAGGGTTTATAACTCAATCTGAGGTTTGCTAAACAAACAATGTCATCCTCAGGTAGATGGTGTTAATCTCAGCACAGCAATATGCTGCCATGTCTAAAATCTGTCTGTCTGTGTTGGAGAGACTCCAAACTGTATTAAAAGCATGTTCCAAGTTATCCATCCTGTTCGGGTTTATCCTGGACCCAAGAGGAGATGATAACAGGTTCAATAACCTTTCAGTCTACCGTTAAATGTAAAGCACAAACAGCTTCAACTCAGAGCCTCTTCTTACTGAGCGTGAGGCCTCTATAATGTCCTGCCACTCTTTTATTTTACAGGAACAGAAATACATAATTATACACCCACATATGATGGTACCCATACTGTACGTACACCCAAAATAACAGTCACTGATATTTTTAGTGAAGGGCCTTATGGGCAACAGAAACAGACACAAACACATGTTTGTCTTTCATACTTGTCAATTTGCATTTTTTCGTACTTTAACTTGGGATTTTAGCATAAGTGCGTTCCCACTGACAAGTATGAAAAAAATGCAGTGCACTGCGAGTACCCGGACGGATGGTGTACTCATAACGGTCAAAAAGTTGGAAGTGTGGGACACTGGACACCATTAATGGTCAACATCTTGGCGGCTAGCAGCCAGCTAGCTAACAGCAGCACATGAAAATAAAAACAACTCATTTTTATTCGGGTCAAATTAAACTGTCAAGTGAGCAAACAAGCCGGCAGATGATGCTCTGTCTGGATGCAACTTGCCATTAAAAAGAAGCGGTGAAATTTTGCAATTGTAATTTTTTGGTAAGTAAACAACGGTGAGTTCGTTTTGAGAACACTCTCCAGTCTAAATGTACATACTATGCAAGTGTGTCTTAAACATGAAATAGTCTTCTGACCAGCCCAAATGTCCTCACAATACCCAAATGTCCTTACAACAATGGTTTAACATTTGAATTGGTCCTCATAAAGATAGCAATACAAGCTTCCCCACAACTTGATTGATTACTGTGTATGGATTTGGTTAGTTGTCTGTTATCATTCTCTCACCATGAGGATTATAGCCTCCTGGGCATTTTAGGGCACAGCAAAGCCGCCGCCTGTGTATAGTATGGATGGGGGTGTATACGTTTACAGTATGGCTGCCTGTGTGTGTTTGGGTGAGTTTGGGTGGGTGCTGGGGTCCAGCTGAAGGAGGGAAGAGGTCTGTCTGACTACTTGGATTAGAGACAGAGCCTGGCTGGCAGATCTTTACCTCATTGCAGTCTTAAATCTAAATTAACCAGGACTTAACTCTCGCACAAGACCTCTAATCTGCTCCATGGGGAAAGTACTGTTAACAGGCACACGGAGGGAACGAAGCCTGCGGGAACTAAAAACAGCACAAGCCAACTTTATTGCTGAGAAACAGTGTGAAGCTGGTTCATTTGTAAGTGAGCAAACTAAGCGCAGTTAGCTTGTTTAGAAGTAACAGCGAGAACCGTGATAGAGGCCAGACTTCACGAATTGCAGTTTAATTGCTGCTTTGGATGCAACACTTGCTGCTGAGCTGAAGTATATGGAACACTGTAATTAAAACTAAAGACGAGACACTCACAGTCATTTAGGGTTTTTAATATTAAGTCCTGTTCAGTTAAATTGTCTTTTGTTATTTTAGTTTTTTGTTGGTCGATCCACCCCTTTAGGTCCATGAACTATGCAATCTGGAAACCATTATACCTGTTAATCGTCGGCATGTTACCGTTGTCATTGTGAGAATGTTGCAATTCTCATTTAACTCTCAGCAACAAAGCAAATAAGCAAAAATAAAGGCAAATTATTTATACTACCTTTTTCAAGGCAATGCAACAACTATAGTAAAGTCCCCATGAAAAACAAAATCCCTTCTTGCATGTTGAATACAGCATCATCATTTCACACTGCAGGTTTTCAGCTTGACTACACTCAAAACACTGCAACAAAGACCTATTTTTCTTTCATACAAAGCCAGGTTCTACATTGTATTTCTACTGTAAGTATGGATATGTATGAGATTTTCTATGTGGGGTATTAATACTGAACATTGATGGAATGTCCTTTCATAGTTATCATGACTAAGACCACAATAGTGAGGATTCAGAGACTTTAAAATTAAGCTTTCCTTTCTCCATCTCCTCCACTAATGCATCACAGTTCCACTAATAACAAGAGTATTATATACTGGCACAGCAGTTCAGATTCTCATAATCTATGCAACATCATCCAAGCTGCAACATCCTTGATCCATCATGTCCAGATTGTGATAACTGTACTGAGCCATAGTGTGTTTATCTAACCCCTGACCCAATGATACACAGCTACTGTGTAATACTGCAGAAAGAGCTACAACTAAGCCCCAAAATGGGGGCGAGAGAAAGAAAGAGAGAGACAAAGAGAGAGAGAGAGAGACAAAGAGAGAGAGAGAGACAAAGAGAGAGAGCGATAGACAGAGAGACAGAAAGAGAGACAGCAGAGTAATGGCAATAATGCAAACAGCATTAATGTGCTTATGTTCTTCGCTAAATGTCCCAGTTGTGTGCAAAAAGCTCAATCTTATGCCAGGATGTATCCGTTTGCAGTGCTGCCACATTTAATTCACACACAACACAGCGGTAGAAAATACGTGACCTATATTCTGCATTTTCTTGACTGTGTGATTGAAATGTGTTACAATATGTTCGAAAATACAGTTAGTGACTGATTACAGGCGTACTGAACAAAACGTGAAAGAATGGTCAGCCACATACATGCATGTTAACTCATTACACTGAATATTTAGTGACTGTAATACTATACGTAGAGTGCATTTACGTAATAGTGTCATTCTGTATATCCATATTTCTATTACTGCCACTGTGGATTAGGGGATAAAGATAACAACCTGTATCACGGAGTGTGCAGTTTCTTCTTAAATATCAATTGAAAAGAGGTTTATAGATAAAATGACAAGACAGGAATGTTTTTGTCTAATCCAGTGAATTACATATGTGAAAAATCTGCGAAACACACTTCTTGTGAAAACATCTAAAGGTATATCAGTGAAATTCAATGGATATATCCTCTTAAAATCTGTGATTCTGGGCTGTATAAATAAAGTTGTAGGGATGCATGATATAAATCTATATCCAATCTAATCCAGATTGTGCATCCATATAAAATCAACAATGTTTCTTTCTGAAATCTACAAAGTATTCAATGTTGAGTCAATGTGATTTTTGTTTGTTTGTTATTGTATCTGACCAGCGCAGCTATCAGTGAAGCAGGCTGAAGTCACGGTGCTGCTACCATCAGCTTTAAGGCAGGTTCTGGTGTCCCACAAGTTCAGGTCAGTTTTAAGCAGCAGCTGCACATAATGTACATAAAACCTCATTGCCCTTCATTTTCATTTTCAACCCCCCCATCCTCTCCCTCATGATAACAAGACAGCCAACAGAGCTGTTTGATCCCACACTTCTCATTTGGGACAGCAGCAGCGACCAAACCTCCCTTCCTCTCTCTCCATCTCTCCGTCGTATCATCAATCCTGCCAGCAGAGAAAGAGAAGGGCACTGGCCCGAAAGACTGCCATTTTAGCCAGAAGCCATGCTGTCTTCAATACTTGTGTGAATTAAACATGTATGGAGTGCTTAGAGCACTGCTATTCAGAGATGCTCTGAGGCTCCCGAGTGTTTAGAATAGAGAAGCTGCTCGCTGTTCACAAAGTGGGCTGCGTCTCTGGCTTTGACTGAAAAGATGCGATCGGGTGGGAGATAAATAAACAAAAGAAAAAAAGAGGATCATCAAACCTGATCAGAGTCACAACTTCTGACACTTAACTCTTATACACACTAACAAAGAGCTGATTTGTTTGCAGTTTTGTGCCAAATAAAATGTATCCATGCACACAATAACTAATCCCAAATAACCTAAATTCCCTAAAACGACAGTCTGTTGCAGCCAGATTAAGATTACAGATTAGTATTTTGGCTGTGATTAAACAACAGGGAAAGATTTGCCCTTCTGTGTTGCTGGAATATCAGGACACTTTCTTTGCACACAATGATCGAACCTCGTTACCCAAAATACCAGACAAGTGTATGTATTCTGAATCACAACTCTCTCCATTTCATTCACCACAAAATGTTTCCATCTCTCTCTTCTTTGTGTTTACTTGCTGCCTTTGACATTTAACTTCCATCACTCATCCCTGACATATACTGCAAGTAGAAATGACCACACACACGCACACACGTGTCGGTACAAACCTGACGGCGATGTGGCTGTAAAACAACCCTGAGTCACTGACACTCTGAGGGAGGCAGTAACGAAGCACTTGGAGCCGCTGTATGTCCATTTTGGTAAACGGGAAAACAACAACAGCAGCGGTTTGTCTATGACAAGAACTCCCTCTTGTGCTGCTCCGTTATCTTAAAAAACTAGAACTCATTAAAAGCAGTTTAATCCTCCTGATGAGAGCCTGACACACAAATTACAAACAGGAGTGACGGCTGCACAAATAAAACAAAAAAGTCCACTTAAAAAATTGAGATCAAAAACATCCCTCAGATCTGAATTCTTGTACTGCTGCATTCGCTATGATGATCCATCCAGCAACAAAGAGAGGACTGAGGGACAGACTGGCAGAGATGAAGTCACTGACCAGCCTGTCTGAAAGATGACCGTGTGTGTGTGTGATTGAACCTCTGTGCTATTGTCATTCTGTTAACCCAAGGGAGATTACCTCATATCCGTCTCAACCAGCTTTTACCCCCCTCCACACACACACACACCCACACACACACACACACTAATGTTTAGTGAGTGTGTGGAGGGGTGTTGTTGGGGTTTGCTACTGCCCCCCCCTCCTCTCAACTAGAGCCTGCTGTTGCCTTAGCTGCCAAGTATTAAGCACAGCCTGTATGACCAACCAGCGGTCCATACTGTGGCCAGCTCCTATCGATTGGGATGCCCTTTACCTCAGAGGACACATGTAGTGGGTGCATTTGTACAACACAGATTAACTGGAAGAGGTGTTCGTCCTAAATGTCCATTAACATCCACTGAGTAATTGACTTACTCCAACGCTCAATCAAAATTTGATGCACGAGATTTTGGAAGTCATCAGATTTATCGTTGGCTGGAGGGACTTTGTCCAGACTATAGACCAGAATAATGAGAAATAGAAGTGGACGCTGCAGTTTGTTTTGAGTGCTGTGGCTCTTCGGTCAGTCCACCACTTTAGTCCGGAGTGAAATATCTATTGGATGGATGCAATTATGCCATGACATGCATCTATGTATTGATGTACCCTGACTGTTCCTCTAGCGCCACCATGAGGTTAAAAAACCGTAACCCCCCTAACCATATCAGGTCAACATCAGCATATTAGCATTGTCATTGTGAGCATGTTGGCATGCTGATGTTATCATTGAGCACAAAGCACCAGTGCTTCTCAGTACAGTCTAACAGAGCAGCTGGTGTTTCTGTAAACTGTTTTATTGATATAGATATTAGCTAAACATTCACTGTCGGATGGGCTGTGATCAAAACAGCACATGGAGTACTGGAATCAGAGTTGTCTCTTAAAACTAGTAGTGATGTTTCAACCAACAAGTCTTCCTCGGGCAATGATCAAAACATGATCAGATACAATGAATATGATCAAAATATGCAATAAATACACCCATTAAAAGCAACACACACAGAGTCCCAGGACTGACAGTACTCCAGTGTGAGGATGACACAACATTACTCTTTGAACTTTGACCTCTCTGGTTCACTGGCCTCCACTCCAACAGCTGCCCTTATATGCCGCGGTGACAGCAAACAACACAAACCACCACGGGGCGTGACAAGGCACGCTGCAGCGCAAGATGCCACTTGTGATTGGTTAAATGAGGGTCACAGACAACAGTGATTGGTCGAACAGGAGAGTCAGTCAACAGGGATTTAGTTTTTTCGGGGCTCACCATAACGCCTGTGGCAAGCAGCATTACTGTTGGCTAGCCTGTGGCTCTGAGTGCCCAGCTGGACATTTCTGTGTCGCAGGCCGGGCAAATGTTAACAAGCTCGATCTGTGACAGAGTCTCTGTCGTGCCCTGAGGAGTGGACACTGTCTGCTCACTAACATATAATAAATGATAACATGCAATGCTAAACTGCTGCGGGGCAAGTGATCACACTGAGCATCAAACGGGAATATTTGGTCTCAACTTTGTCCAGATAGTGTCTTAAAAGACAAAACCTCTCTAAGACCTTTTTTGTTTTCACAGACAGTTCCTGGGAACTAATCCACACGTTGAGAAATGCACCCCAATCCCAATGGAAGCTGATGAAATAAACATACACACGACTGCAACTGCGCTGTATGTCAGAAATATGTCTCAGTGATCAAATTCAAGTCATTACAGAAAACATTTCCTCCCCCCCAAAAGAGTTATTTGGAAAAAACAAAGAAAGCTTCATAGTAACACAGACATGTTTTAAGACAAAGTTGTACCCCAAAATGTATTTCCTTGTGTTAGGGACTAAACACATTTTCTCATATAGCCTCTTTTCTTTATATTGCCCTTCAATTGTGTTATGTATTCACTGTTAAATGAATGGTGTGATTACATCACCTCAAATCCTCAATATTGATCATGTTGACAATATGCTGTGGGTGCATATTGCGTTACTATAAAGTGACGGTGAAAGAGTGAAAAAAACACTTTTATCAGCTCAAATTGTTCGGCTCTGAGAACAGAAATGTCGTGAAGAAAGGTGTTTTCACGATTGCGTTCCTAAAACAGTTAATCAAAAATGAAAGGGTAAAAGGATAAAAAAATATATATCAGTAATGTGGATATGATAACTCATCAAGAAGAGGCATTTATTGTTCATTACAGAGACCCAGTACAGTCAATGCATCTCGTCCCCATATTGGTTTTTATATCAATATACAGTATCCATATATTGAATGAGACTTAAGGAGTCTTTGACAAATGGTTGACTAGGACTCATTGTCTTACTATAAGGAGATCATTTGGCGGTATCATATCCACAGTCAGCAGCAGTAAAGCCTCCCAGAGGGAAAACAGCATGTTGACCCCTTTAACGACATCACTTATTCATTACATATCTCTGTTGATACCAATCGTCCCTTAGGCTAATTCTCGTGAACATACAGTACAATATGGATAGCAACCCCCACTTCTTCGCACACCCCTCCCCCAACTCTGCTTCTCACTCCACCTTCCTCAGCGCTCTCCAGTCCCGTCGCTAATCCTGATCCTTAAAGGGAAACACAGCTTCACAGGATGCACAGAGGGATACACCAGCAGCACGAAATGACAGAAGGAATACAAGACTTTCCACATATTCCATACGTTTCTGTGATTTCCATGTCAGTGTAGAATCTCCTGCAGATATACTGATGCGTTTTGCTGGATATGTCAGCAGAAATGCCCGGAGGATGAGATGGACCTGAACAGCAATAACTGACAACTAAATGGGAAGAAATCATGATGATGTGTTGGTTTAGATGAAGAGTTGAGTTGGTTTTTCAGAAACCTGCAAGTGGCAACTTTAAGGTCATGCTTTGTAATGTGCCAGTATGAGCAGTGCCTCGTGAATGATGAACATACTGTGAGAGAGAGGTTTTCCCTCTCTGTACTGTACTTTACAGTAGATTACTAGAGTGCAAGCGGTCAAGCGTAAACCTCTGACGTTATCTCCTATGTCCCACTCGGCTTCACAACTGTATTTGAGCTCCAACAAATCACCACATCCCGCTGTAATCTGCCAAGGCCATATTATACAGGGACCTTTCTATCCTCGTATCATCTGGCTTTTGATAGTCCCACTCAAGCAGCCATTCACAGATTAGCGCTCCCTATCCCGTTCTTCCTGTCTTTCTTTCTCACACATGCAGCGAGTCAAATGGGATCCGTCCTGTGAACCACAGAGAGCAGCTGAGCGGACACACCGACAGACAGAGAGAAACTCGTTCCTTCTTCCCAGGAAAAGACGGAACCAATGAAAGATTGCTAAATGGTAACCAATCAGGCGTCTCTGCAAACAGCTGGCTCCAGAGAAAACACAGACAGAGGGGTGGAAAGAAGGAGACAGACGAGTAGAGTTTTTCCTCTCCCATTTTCCTCGCTTTCTCTCCAACTTAAGCGAGTTGAGTTGTTATATAAAACAGAGCTGGAACGATGTTCAGAATGCGACAGAAAGGAATACAGGTTTTCTCGCAAACAATCCTACAAATGCCATTTGAAGAAGAAAACTGATTCTCTGGTTTGAAAGATGAGACGGGCTTTAAACAGAAGCACTAGAGAGAGAAGAAGCAACACACCCCAAAGTCACGTTGCCTTACCCAAAATCGTCCAGGGAATACATGTTGCCGAGGAAGACAGCCCAGTCTTCAGGCAAAAGGATGAAAGGAGGTATAAATGGGAAGATTATGGAGGAGAGGGGGAAGAGTCAGCCTGAGAGGAGAGAGCGGTTCACATGCTGTCCGACGCTGAAGCAAACTCAACCGTTCCCCTTCTTCACATCCTCTGAAAACGCTCCATAAAAACCCACTACGCCAACAGAGCAGACATAAGACTGAGACACAGAGAGAGTGGGAGGGAAGGAGTGAGCGAGAGAGATGAGGAGTGTTGCAATAGAGTAAGGGAATGTAAGAGAGAGAGAGAGAGACGAACATGTGACCAGAGCAGACCAGTCACCTCTCTCCGCTCCGAGGATTGTGGAGTGCTGTCTTTCAACCTCCAAGGAATCTTTTCCACTGGATGAAAATTACATGTTAGCCTATATAGGAAACAGGAGTGCTTTCCGAATCCGCCCTTCTATAGCGTGTAAAATTCAGCTTCTAATAGAATCTAAAGTGACAGAATTGTAAAAGGTGCATGAGCTATAACCTCTAATCCCTGTCTAACTATAGAGTGGGGAAACACACAGCAACACTTCAGTCTACATAAAAGGACGCAACGTTCCAGCTCAAAATGAAGTGCACTGCAGGAGTAGATGTCATGATAACTTTTATATTCAAGCAACAACGGATTTATTTCATCTAGGGTAACATTGGCGGTTTCCTTGTGGCTTTATCAGAATTCATCCTCAACCTGGTGGTCCATCTGGCTGAAGCAAACTTAGATTAAGCCTCTTTGCCACAGCGAGCTGAGGTGTGGGAAACAAACAAAGAGCAATGTAGTACACTAAAAGATTAGGGGGCTTAATGGGGTTTAGAAAATGGTAAGAAACATGCAACAGACCCTGGAAGGTCAGTAAAATACAACAAAATCTTATTTTCCCCCCGACAGGGCTTGTATGAAGTAGGGTACAGGTACATGCATCACAAATTTGTAGCTGGTAACGCTGCAGAAGCTCAGGTACGTCTTTGGCAATGTACGGCCAAGGCCTAAATAGAAAAATTGTGTAAATGTGTACGGGGGAAGTAAAACTAGTGAGCTGAATCAGAACCACAGAACGTACAATACAATGTTAAAATAGGGATAAACTGCAGCTAAACCTAGCTTAGCTGTAAATGTTTTCACAGTGTGGTGGGGGTCATCTGAAACTGCCTGTTTCACCCCCATCAAGCCAAAGGACACATGATGCTGATGCACATCATCAAACAGCATATGCAGAAATAAGGACCATTAAAGTATGATGCATGGGTTTAATGGTTCGTGGTGTAAACATGATAAGTGCAGAGCTGACAATGAAAAGAGAGAGTCAGAGAGATCTGTATTTACTTTGCAGAAAATCTGCATTACTCTCAGTGGTCTGAGGAGGTAAAACTGAGTAATTCACATTTGATTACTGGATTTGATTAATAAACATATAATACTGCCTAACATTACTGCAGTTTCACAAGCGTGTCGGAGAACTATGGTGGCCTTGAGGTAACCGTGAAGAGGACCCGATTCTGTTTCAATGAAACCCTGGAGAATGTGAGTGTTGTGGCAGTACGTGGTGACGCCGGCTCACGTGGAGCTGCTCTCTGATCAGCTCGGAGGGCAGCAGCAGCAGCCTGCAGTAAGATGCATAACTCAGCATTTTCCCTTCCAGTCGCTGCACTCGCTCATTATACCTTTCCTGGGATGAATCACCACAACAAGCAGCTTCAGAAATCATCCTGCATTAATAGCACAGGACGGACGCCTCGCTTTTTGCCCTCTTTCCCAGTTTCTCTCACAACCCACTCTACCTCTCACACACACACACACACACACACACACACACACACACACACACACACAACCAAATGACAGCAGCGAGTCTGAAAAGGAGAACAGTGAGGAAGCATCGCATAATAAAACCACTACTGTTACTGGACTAGAAATAACTAAGCCACACTCACATATTTGGGCGTGCACACACACACACACACACACACACACACACATACATAACCCTTACATAAATGCAGCAATGGAAGCAGTGACGCTGAACAAATTATCTCATTGAATTAGATCTTCTTCTATCCTCTGCAAAAAGAAGAGCCAGGTCACCTTGTTGTTGCTTTGTGGAGATTTAAGACTTCCCTTTTGGGCTTGAATCAAAGAGCAGATCTGCCTCTGGCAACAACACACACACACAGGATGGGACGCAAGCAGCACAGCTTTACAGAAAAGAGGAAGATATGAATCTTACATGTTTACAGTCTGAGAGCAGAACAGTTTAGCTGCTGGCTTTGATTTGTTATGGGAAGGGGTTAGTTACTTCAAACTAGATATCCAGATGTGAGAGCCCCCATGGCTTTCTCTTTTTACCGTTATTCCATTTCTCTCTCCTTTTCCTCTTTGAAGCGAGTAGCACCACATCTACACACCCAGACAGTCTCACACAGACACACACACACACACACACACACACACACACACACACACATGCAGACAAATACCAGTAGCTACAGCAAAAAGGAAAGAGAGTGCACAGTGTCTGAGGAGAGCCGTCAGAATAAATCTAAAGGCATACAACAGAATGGTGCAGGCTGCAGCTACGGAGACACTGAGGAGTCAAACTAAAGGCAGCAGGGGGAAATATAAAAAGGACTGTTTCATAAATAGAACAAAATAGACAGACTGCTGCTGGAGAACATTGTTGCCCTCAGCGCATATCTGCATACCAACATAAGCAGGGAAAGGCTCAAAATAACACCGACAGGCTTGGATATACAATGGGGATTTACACAGCAGATACATTTCCCATAGGCTGGGTATGTGTGGATCCGTCATAGAGTAAGTAGGCTTATAGGTGTCTGTGAGGAAGGGGGGGTGGAGGGTCTGATAACCTGCCTGGCAACCACCAGAACAAACACCCTCCTCCTCCAGCGATGGATATATGCACCCTCACTCATCCTATTTCCAGCCTCCTACAGCCGGTCACACACGGGCCGGTGCATCAGTCACATTCAACCGTTTTATTTCAACCAGGTGCACCGTAGGAACACACGATGCTGTCGTTCCCATGACAACATTAGCCTGGATCAAATCCTGCACTCACTGGGCGGGTCAGGCGGTGAAAACTGAGGTAAACAGAGGGGTAAACAGAGGGGTAAACAGAGGGGTAAACAGCACCAATTGATATGCATTGACCGCCTTGTGCACTGGGAGTGTACCGCGAATGGTAAAGGACGCCTCTATGGAGCTGAGGCCCGGGTGGGTGGGCCCCTGGATGCTCACAATACTGTCTCTACAAGGAGACAATAAGACAATACACTGTCTAAGACGCTGCAGTTCCTCGCCACATTATTAGCCGTTGAATATTCTTGCAAGATAAATGTATAAATGCAGTCGTGGGCTGGAGGCTTAGTGTCGGTGCGCATCTGTCATGACGCGTCAAACAGAGCGCATGGTGCTGGCCGCCGCTTACCTCATTCTCTCGTCTTTTATTCACCCGGAGATGATGGCACTGACGAGGCCGACTAAAGGAACCAACAGTCCGCTTTATTGTTCTGTAAACACAGTCAGGAGAGGCTTGAAATCAGCACCGCCCGCTTCCACTTTGTGTCCCTTTATGCGCGTCTGTAACAATAATACAGGCTGATGATGAGCGGTGTTGCAGACACGCTAAGCGAGGACACGAGCGTTTTCTCCCATCCGCTTTGTGCTCCGTTGTCTCAGCTCTCCACGCGCGCCGCTGCGTATCCTTAAGTCCATGTTCAGCCGGGGCTCGTGCTCGGTAGAAGACGGTGAACGGTGGTCTTCAGCCGCCGCTTCCCTCACGCCATATCTTCTTCTCCATTCGGAGTGTTTTGGTGAGGTGGAGAGATTTTGGGGGAAATGCTAATGCTGTGTGTGGAGGACGAGAGGAAGGGGGGGTGGGGGCACACCGGCTCAATGCTGCCCACCTGCGGCGAAGACGCACACGTGCAGCCCACTAACGCCCCCCTACTCCACCCCGAGATTACAGGGTAAATATTCCAATATAATGTTATGGTGGTCAGAGCAAGCTTTAAGTAAGGCAGTCTGCTGTAGTAAGATGCCCATACAATTTATCTTTTACTACTATGTGTTCTTTTTTTCATATAAGAAAATGTAAACCTTGCAAGAGTATAAAATATATAATATTTACACATGACATCAATCTTCCTCTTAAAATAAAGATTATGTAAACTAAAGAAACCAAAAAAATGTCAAAATGTTGAAGTGGAAAATATCAGACACAGTCATAGGAATTTCATGTTGCATTTACTTTCAGACATTGTTAAAAGCTCAATTGTATTCTGCAGCCCCAGGTGTTTAATGGTAAAACAAATCATGTTAGCGTGCCGACTATATCACTGCTGTTAGATTTGAGTAGTTTTCCTGATAACGAAGCTCTAGCAATCAGCCAACCGACAACATCAACACGCCTCACATCAGTTATGGTCATACTAAAATCTGCTGAACCTCTGTTAAAATAAGCTGGTATATTCATGCATGTGTAATATTGGCTTGGTGTTGACAGTAAGATGAAGAGTGTGACGTATAGGTGTACGGACAGAACACAGCTTGGAACATTGAAAACAGACATCATTGGTTCATGAAAAGCTCCGGTAAGTACTATATGGTAATTTGCTTGTTCTATTGCGGGTAGATAGACCTGCTGTATCTTTATCATTCTGAAGCAGTGCATTATAAAAAATAAAAAAAACACTCAAGAAGGTTCAGGTCAGTTAAATAACTTGCCAGTGACTGACGGTTTGCAACTTAGGAGCACATCAGACGTAAACAGTTACAGTGTAGTGGTCTCATCCTTCTCCTTTCTAACCTGATCCCGGTGCAGTAAAATGCAGGAGGATGCAGATTTAAAAGACTTCACATCATCGAAAAAAAAAAGAAAAAAATGCTTGCTTTTCATTTTCCTTGCACCTCGAGGCAAAGGCAAGACACAACAACTCGTTCCAAAAATCTGATACACTTTAAAACACTGTATATTCACCCACATTTTGCTCATTAGCGGTTTCAAGCCTCCTGTAAATGTACACATATGGGACTAAACAGGGATGTATTTCAGGGGAAAACCCAAAAGAACTGAAATTGGGAGGGAAGGATTTGACTCTTGATCAATAAATAATAGGAAAGGTACCGTTTTTAAGACCCGGAAGCACAAAAACTTAGAACGTGTTCAGATATTGTATTGTTAAAAAAATGTTAAAATCCTAAATCTTTAATGTTCATTGCCCTTAAAGGATGATAGTTTCAAATGGTGGGTAACATCACATCTGGCTAAACCTTGCTGTATCTAATTATCATCAAGACTGTATGGGTAGTTTCCATTCAGAATTAGTCACCGCAAATAAATCAATAATGGTTGGACAACAGTTGAATCTAATATTAGCCGTAGTTGATGCGTCTCTGTATGTTTTAGTGAGCTGTGTTTAGGGCTCGTTCTGATATGTCAATGTTAATAAAAGAGACGAGTTCTGCTTTGCTAGTGGTTTCCTGAGTTGTTAAATACAAAATACACAAAAGTTCAACAATTAGAAAATGCCTATGTTCTTTCCTTCCCTACACAGCTGTGTTCCAATGCTCTTGGATCTCCAGCACAGTGATGAACCTCTTCAGTCCATCATCTGTGGCAGGAGTGCACACGAAACAAGAGCAGTGAAACTATTCAGATGCAGTCAGAAAGTCAGAGCCTTTGGTTCTGTTTAGTTGGGTTTGAGCCGTTTGATTTGTTTTGACTCATGTCATTGGTGACCTGGCTACAGTATGTGAGAGAGATTTTTATTTTTTACATGTAGTGTGATTAAAGAAAAGGGGAAATATTCAGGATTTTTGTATTTCAGGCAACTGCACAAAACACCTCCAACAGTTCGTCTCATTTGGGATCTGAGAGCAGATCAGGAAGAAAACCTTGAGTTCCTCTTCTGTCAATTCACTTCAGTTCAGCAGATCCACTTTTTTTTAGCTTCTGAGTTAATTTAAGTTTGGTTTGGTTCAGTTCAGTTCAATTCAGTTCAGTTTGCTTCGGCTGGGTTTCAGGCCCCAGCAGCAGTATTAAAACCACAGCATCTGTTTCTGCCGGCTCCCTCAGACTATCCTCCACTGCATCACGCTCATGTCCTTCCCTCCAGTTGACACCAGGTAGCCGTCGTCATACAGGAAGGTCACGTTAGTCACGTGACTGCTGTGGCCACCATAAACATGGCTGGGAGCCTGAAAGGAAAAGTAAATAATGAATTTTGCCTCTCCATGAACTGTGAATCAAAGTTTTACAAAAGCTTAATCTCTTTATTTACATTACTGAAATCTTTTAAAAGATTCTTTTTAGGGCTTTTTGCCTTAGACAGACCGACATGGGAGAGAAGAGACAAAATGCAGTGAAGGGCAATGTGGGTCACTCAGCCTTGGTACGGAGTGCCCCAGTACACTGTATCTTACCCTGAACTGCGAACAGGGGTATGAGAAGAGGTGGACCTTCCCAAAGTCGTCTCCGGTAACCAGAAGGCTTTTATCGCTGGACCTGCAGGCGGCGTTGATGTCGGTGCCATCAGAGCCGTCGGGCCACAAGCCTGAGGAGCACAGAGGGCAGCGGAGACGTCTATTGAATGGACATTAAAACATAAACACTCACTTAAAGAGGGAAAGGGAAGGAGCCTTCACTTACCAAAGACATGGAAGCCCAGAGTGCAGGTGTGGGTGGCCCACTCAATATCTCTGGTGGTCTCCACACTGACCACCTGTTTACACACTGATGGGATCCCTGGGAAAACACACAAACCAAATAAACATGTTTTAGCATAAATAAGTGTCATGGGTGCTGTTACTTTAAATTTGAAACTACTGTTTAAGGGGCCCACATCAACTCTTTTCAGAAACAAAAATCGCACTGAAGACATAATATGCAGGAATTTCCTGCTTTTCGTCCCTCTCCTCTGCTGTGCTGCCATCAGTGTGTCAGTTTGACCAAGCGGAGCGCCACACACACACACACACACACACACACAGAGCAGCAGAATGAAGTCTGTGCTTCGACTGCTTCGATTCATTTGCTCGTTGCCGGGGAGAGGAGGAGCCAACTTTGAATACTGTGTGTTTACAAACAGCAACCATCAATGCTACAGAGTATACCATCGAGACAGCAAAGACGACAGTGGTCATACTTACAATACAGTATCTCATAGTCCCCTGAGTTTGACACCAGGTACTGGAAGTCCACTGACCAGTCCAGGTGGGTGATGAAACTAGAGTGACCCTGAGATTTGATACAAAAGGACCAAGTTAGATCATTTACCTTCACAGGCACTTCCCTGTGTTCCTCGAGTGGAGGCGATATGGCGCCTCAAGCACCAGAAATAATCCTAAAAACATGGATTTGATTTGATATTGCAACCCTTAGTCATTATGTCCATGTAGCTGCAGCACTGTATGACTCAGCTCATTGTCATTTGTCATTTTACAGCTTCTGCATCAACACACAGTGAGGACAGAGTGTACAGAGTGGAGGCCCAAATATAGAGCTAAGGAGGGAACTAAATATAAAGATGACGCAGGGAGGAACTAAAAATAACGGGGTTACGGGTGAGGGGGGATTATAAATACAGGTGCTCACCGAGCATTTCCCCACTCGGCTGTACTTCCTCCCGTTTTCCGCCACGGCGTAGATATAGATGTAGTTGTCGTGCGAACCGATGGCCAGGAAGTTACCATCTAAATAAAAAAAGAAAGGATGATTATTGTGCTGTATCTTCCAAATAACAAAAAGGAAAAGAGACAGTGAAAACAGCACTCTGCATGCACAGGGCGGTTATCACCATACCTGGCCCGTAGCACATAACAGACAGCTGTTCATTCCCATCTGTGTGCACTGTGACCAGATCCTTAGAGTCAGAGTCCAGCACCAGCCACCTGCAGGATCACAGACAGCTCAACAATCTGCTTTTTTAGCTAAAGCAGTCATTTAAACACTATATTTCTTTACGTTGTTTTGGTGATGGGATTATCCCTACCTGCCATTCTGGGTTCCTATCGCAACCACAGCTCCAGATGGGTGGAAGCCTGCTGATTGAGCAGCATCCTGTCAGAAACAGGAAGAGTACATTTAGTCACCCTCTACGTAAAAATGAGTTTTGTGTTACGTGTTTTTTTTTAAATAAACAAAACAACAAACACATAACCAACAGACCAAAATACAAAATCAAACCAATAAATGCTAATAAACACAAACAAACAACGTACTATATATCAACACAGCAGGCCTAACAACCTAAATACATACCAAACAATTTAAAGATAAAATAATAAAAATAAATTCATAGAATTTATAAAAGGAATCCTACTTAATATATATAAATTAATTGCATTATTATATAGAACACATTGACGGTCTCTCAGGCTAATTCTGAAAAACAAATACTTTAAATTCTTTACTTAATTTTCTTTTTAATCAAATACAAACTTGTTACCAGCCTTCTGCTTCAATACACCTTTCCCACCTTTCCAAATGTTTTTAATGACAATATTGCTATTTGCAATATAGTACAATAGAGTTTTTGTGTTGTCTTTATCGTTAGTAAATTTGGATGTTTGCACATACATTATTCTGCCCAGTGAAGCTCAGAGTTTGACACTAAAAGGCAGATTTTAAGGTAATATAAGGTTGTTTTCATGTACATTTATACATTTTAGTTGATAAATGTGCAGTTCTTGTTGGTTCTCAGTGACATCAGAAGTGATGAAATAGTGGCCGATTCCTCATGTTGTGTGCTGTGTAATCCCCGGGACTGACCCCAGGGTGGCAGTGTTGGCTAAACTTACGTCCATACTCTTGGTCCAGATGAGCTGATGGGAACTTGAGTCCCACAGGCAGACCTGCCTGTCATAGCCACAGGTGAGGAACTGAGGCTTCAGGGGGTGGACAGCCAAACCCCACAACTCATCAGTGTGACCCTGGAGAAGGGACGAGAGTTTTACTTCTTTCAATTCTATTAACTCTTGCTACAACATCACAGCCTTTCAAATGAAACCTTCACTTTGTCCAGTTTTTGGACAACATCATAATAAAGCTGCAACGATTAATGACGAATCAACAAGTCAAGGAACAATTGATCTGGATTTACTGCTTTTCTCTGTGTCATTTCTTTGTTCACTGAATATATTTTGGCTTTGAACTGTTGGACACTTTAAAAAGTCACATTGGACTCTATGATGGACTTTTTTCCCAACCAATCTTCTGACATTTGATAGACCAAATAATTGGCAGATTAATCAATTTGTTGGCTGCAGTATTAGTGTATTAGACGGTATTATCTACCTGCGTAATAGGCATGAACTCTCCATCCAAACTGCCTTGCAAAACAAAGTGTTTAGTGGTCCCGATGAGCACAGTCTCCCCTCTGCCCTCTGCTATGGTCCTGATTGGACCAAACAACTCAGGCACCTGTGGAGGAAATTCAATCATCATGTAAACCATCCGTTTACCTAGAATCCTGCATTTGCCAGAATAACTATCAATTTATCTTTTACTGCATAATCTGGTCTCTGTAGAGCAAATAAAACATGAGTGATCCATAATTCTCATCATAATAAACATCCATGAATCTCATTGAGAGCACAAACTCATCTCATCCTCTATAATATTTATGATGTGGTGCAGCATTCAGAATGCAAAGTCCGCTGCCTCGGGCAACAGCAATTTCTGGCTAATATAAGCAACCTACTTTAAAGAAGGAGCTGGATATGCAGCTTAACATTTCATTAAAACATATTAACAGAATGTGGTAATATCAGATCATTCGGATGCTGCTCTATATCTGAATATTAACAAAACCCAGGCATTATTGAAATACAATACTGACTAATGCATTTCATAAAATTCCAAATTCTTGGAGCCTTGGAATATTAGAATTTTTGTGATTCGTGTTGAACTTTTTCCTCACCTCCACCGCTTGTATCTGCTGGTAGCTGCCGTCCCAGGAGATGAGCCTGCGGTCTTTACCTCCAGATACCAGCGTGCCGTTCCTCAGCATGCACAGAGCAAAGATGCTGCCCTCGTGAGCTCCTTGGATGACATGGCTGATCCGATTAGTGCCTGTGTGACAGAGACAGGATGAGATGGAGGAGAAGGTTCAGTTGGAGACTGACAGACATAAAGGTTGAGTGCTTGAGTGGGCAGATTCAGAGACAGACAGACAGTGTGATCAATAGATGAATCAGAGACAAAAAGAGATCTCATTGGACCACTATGTATGAATACAAGTTTAACAAATTAATCAATTAACATGCCTTTTCCCCACACCAGGATGTTCCCACTTGAGTCTCCTGTGACGGCGTCTCCATTTTCTGCAAAGGTCACGCACAATACAAACTTGGGCTTCTCCTGTTTCTGCAAGAAACACAAGAACACACATATTGTTTCACTTTTCTCTCATTGATTATCCTTTTATAACTATAAATATGATCATATTGTAACACAGGCTGTAATGATTGCATTTGTGTCTCTATATCAAACATTATTGCGTTACAGTATTGACATAACATGTGGGAAACATGTGGGTGTCTCACCTCAAACAGTCCTTGCTTCTTGACCAGCACGCCTCTCTCCAGGTTCCAGAAATAGAGATGGGACTTGCCGCAGGTCACTACGATGCTGCTGTCTGTTGGGTGAAAGTCAGCAGCAAACACTGACTCGTTGGAGCACTGAGGAGAAACACATAACACGTCTACATTTACACCCAAATTAATTGAGCAGTATGTCAGCTTAATTAAAAAACATGGACACATACCTTAACCTCAGCCAGTCTGTCCTCTCTCTGCCAGTCCCAGACAGAGAGGACGTGGTCATTGGAGTCGTCAACGACACACAACGTGTTTCCTCCATTCTGACACACAGAAAAAGACACAAAGTCATGTTTATTTACTGACAAAATGGAAACGCAGTACAGAAGAAGAAATCGCCCTAAACTGCTTGTTAAGTGTGTCGGTGGTGTTTCCTTACCGACTTGGAGAAAGCCAGGCAGACCAAGGCTCGGTCAAAGAAGCCTGCACCCAGAACATGGAGCGTGTTGAGGCTAACAGAGTCCCACACACGGACATGAGGAGCCAGCTGCTGCCAGGAACAAAAAACACACACAAACATGAGCACAGGAGAGGTATACCATCAGTATGATGCAATGTAAGGCTTACTGAATTCAATGAATATAAAAGTGAACGCAGAGCGAATGCCTTTCAACTACTCAGTCTGTTTATCATGCAGCATTGCCTGAATCAGCTGGGCAAAACATAATTTCTTAAATAAAATAGAAAACTCCTCACTCCACTAATACATCATTGACCTCACTTACTTTTCCATCCGAAGAGGTCCCCGCCACCTGACCAGTTGCTATGGTGATTTTATCGGGGTGGACGGCCAGGCTGGTGAAGAGGAAGACGTGAGATCAGTTAAAAGCCTTTCAACATCAAAAGGACAGTTTGAATAAAGATGAGCAACGTGCTCGCACAACATGAAAGGAGGTTTTTAAAGCTGTGAATACGATATTCACTGAAGCTACCACACGCTGTCTGTACTAATGCATGGGGGAAATTAAATCGTTTAAGATAAATCCATCCCCTTTTGGGTACGGCGGTGTAGCAGCATTCATAGCATGTGTGAAGCTTTAACACTTTGTCTTCAAAGGAGTACGAATTTGTTGGCAATCCACCCTTTGATCTGTAATCCATTCATTAGAACTTTTATTAACCCCAAAGTTACCCTCACTGTTCTGCACACTTTCCCACTTTCATGCTTGTGCACAAATGCCGACATGCCAAGACACACCAACACCTGAGTTCACTTGTCTTACTCTTTCCCATCCCTCATTATAGTTACTCTGCACATACTCGGTATCAAGAAAAAAAAGAACTCTACAGCCTGTGAGGATTGAAGAAATGCTGAATATCAAATCTAACAGGGAAAAGAGATGAAAGGTAAAGCAGTCCCTCAGGTTAGTGTGCAATTTATAATCCCCATAATTATCCCCAGATATCTCTCACCATTTGATGTCATCCGTGTGTCCGGTGTAGTGTCGCTGCAGCTGCTCGTCCACGTTGAACAGGACGACCACTGAGGCGATGAAGTACACCGTTTCTCCAGTGGGCAACAGGTAAAGATTGGAGCGACAGTCGCGACCGCGGTATCCATAACTGGACATCGAAGAAGGTCAAGAAATATAACAGAAAAGATATCCAAAGTTGAGCTAAAACAATTAATTGACTGACAGAAAATGTAGTCATTTTTTTAAGCAAAAATGATAAATATTCCTCAGGCGAAGCTTCTCACTTATGAAGATTTGCTGCTTTTTTGTCTTCTTTTTCAAACGACTAACATTCAGACACCGTGTGCACGTGTCTATTCCTTCTGTACTCTAGTTTATTGATTACATATACGAAATTGCAGCCCATATATATTTTTGTGTATGTGTGTGCGTGTGTGCGCGCATCACTCCTCAGATTTAATCTTTTCTTTATCTCCCTTGCGGCTCCTTCCCAAGTGGGTTTCTGCTAGACTGAACAACACACTACATTCATTCTTTCATCAACAAATGAAGGAGAGAAACCACAAAATGAAACAAAATAAAAATAAAAGGGCACAAGAGGAGCTGCTGACTGGTTGTGCCTCAGCCTGCGGGCTGTGTGCAGGTTATTACAGACTGCAGGCTGCAGAGCGATGAGCCCGTTTGCAACTGCAGCAGCACCACACGGTGAAAATGAACATCTGAGCAGATCTACTCTGACAAGCAGGGAGAGAGGAGACCACACATTTGTCAGCCTCCTCTCTCAACGACGCCACAGTACAATCTGGATTTACTCTCCTCAGAAGAGTGCTTTTCAAAACGTTCCAAATGTCAAGCAAAACCTATATGAAAGTTCTTATTTCCTCAGAAAATTCAGAAGATAAAAAAGGATACACCCAGTCCAGTTTGAGTTTGTTGCTGGGCAGGTCGGCTCTGGCCTCCAGGCAGTAGCTGTCCACCTGGTCTTTGGGCATGTACATGGTGATGGGACGACCTTTCAAGTACATTTTCACATAACCTTCCTCTAGAAAAAGCAACAGAAAGGATCAGTGAGATAATACACATGTAGGAAAACAGAGACGTGAACGCTGGAATCATGTCAGTATCACATTTCTTATTAAATATATGACAAGTACACAAAAAGCACAGACATGACACTGAAGCATATTACAATGTGTTATTGTGATGTGAATGACAAGGATGACAATGATGATGATTGTGTGACAGGATTAGAGGGTAATGGAGAGTTGTGACAGGATCTTTTTGCTATGAAATGGACTCAATTAAAGACAACAAATGACTTTTTGCAAACAAACAAATTATCTTTTTAACTGACTTTATTAGTCATTTCAAATACATTCTTATGACAACAAAGAGCGCAAAAATAAACTGCAAACACTTTCAAAACTCATATATATTCAGCTCACAGCAGAGGTTAACCAACATAAAATGCAGACACAAGCAGAGGAATGGAAATGTTAAGAAAAAAAACACACGTCCAAGCTTATAAACGGGGATAATGAGGAATCCTCAGCAACTTAAAGCTGAAAAACAAATCATGCAGAAAACATTAAGGGAACCAAAACAAACAAAATGAACCATTAATGGCCAGAAACGTTTTTTGTTAAAGCTCATTGGAAGAAAATATTCAAATGTAAGGTAACAAAATGGATTTTTGGGTAAGTTTTTATTAGGTGATGCTAAAAAAACTGCCATCTCTTTGCAACTTCTTTGGGATGAGAGGACAGGTGTGACGCAGAGTGGTATTTCTAATGGTACAGATCTGATATGAAACAATGAACTTGCTCTGTACTGAGCGGCTCGGGCACGTTGCAGCCTGATAGTTGTAAAAAAACACATTGATATCTAGGAAAGTGAGTGTTGCTATTATGTGTTTCCGAACTTGATTAGCTAGTAACAAATCTGGAAGTACTGGCTGGGAGACTTGATGGGGCTGCGATAACTGGGTGTATCAAGGGGAGAGAATGATGACAAACTCTCCGAATTTTTTAACTGGAGGTTAAAACTCGGGGGTTTTCGGACCGGCGGCACCTTGCCAGCACCGCCCTTTCTGGCCATGCCTGCCTTGCTGCTTTCTGAGGTTTGTTGGGGGCTGGTGGCTGAGCGCGCCGTTACAGACGAAGCAGTGGGGCTGCCGCTGGTCCCCGTCCGTTTGGCAGAGCGGGTGAGGTAAATCTGTACTGTGACTATAATGTGGACGGGGGAAAAGAGCAGAGGAGCCAATGATGGAGAGGAGTGGTGGAGGTTGTCAAGGCCAGTTGGGTGGAAAGGGCCAAACGGGGACAAGCAGGGCGAAGGAGCAAGAAATGTAAAGGGCGGAGGAGGTTGGTCGAATAAGTTAGACAGATGTAATGGCTGTTTATTGTGTCACACTTCGTAAAAGCATTATAAAACTGGTAAAACAAGGAAAGGAAAGTAGGGAAACTGACTCCTATTATAAACCACCAGCATGTTGAGTGTTATGGTCAAACACTGGCATCTTATCTTGAAACAGTAGGTAAGTTTGGGGGTAATTAAGTAAAACCTTTTTTTTCACTGTCTCATAAGTAAGATCCTGCCTCACTGGTCTAAATCAATGGTTCCAAACCTGAGGGTCAGGACCCGGGGAAGTGGTCACAAGGTTAACCTGAGGGTAACGAGTTGATTGCAGGGGCAGGAGAGAAGAAGAAGAATGTTTTGATATGCACATTTAATGTAGATTCTAGCTAAACTGCTTAGTACTCATAAAATGTACTGTATGAAACCTGTGACGAGGGGACGCAAGCAAACACTGCTTTATTTTGAGGGGCCAAAAAAGTTGAGAACCACTGGTCTAGATGCTTTCAATGGTAAAATTGTCAGATTATCTTTTAGAAAATAAATGATCCTGTAAGAAGAGTGGCTAACGACAACATGTTTGGGAGGAAATAAGCTTTAACTCCAGTCTTTTTTTTTTTTACAATTCTTAGCAGCTTTGTGAGTTTTTGCTGAAGGGGACTACACACAAACATACAACACTTCAGGCCATGTGAGAAAACTACAAGCAGTAAAATCAAACAGACTTCAATAGGAACTAAAGAGACTGAATGTGTTTGTGATGCAAATATTCACTTTGAGGTCTAGAAATATAATAAGAGCAGCGGCAAAATCTACTTGCTGAGCTGCAGCGAGGAATCGCAGAACAGAGGATTCTAGTGTTCGCAGAAAAATTCGAGGCAAACTGTGAGGAAGCGAGTGTCAGAAATATTTGTGTTGTTACTATGGTGACAGAAACTAAATGCCTACGAGCAAAAGTGAGGCTGCGAGCAAACACACACACACACGATTTGGCGAAGCAGCAGCTTCAACCGCAGCAAGAACAAGTGTGGAGACACACAAGTGCAAACACTGCAATCACTCTGACGCAGCTCTCAGTGGAGGTTAGGCAGAATTTATGTGTGTGTGTGTTAGTTAATAGAGTCTAAAGACAATAAAAGGAATGTAACTTTCACACACACACACACACACACTTTGTCAACCCACTCCTGCCCCTGTCTGGACAGCTCTCTGATCATCGCACCGAAAGAAACCTCTAAAGTTTGGGATATCAGAATGTATAGGAAGAGACATCCAAACAGGATACAAATTCAAATTTCTAAATAATAGATCTTGTTTTATCCTTAGCCTCTGCACTGCAGCTCAGAGCAGAGGTCTGCATGTACAGAGATCAAAACAAATCATCTGCAGTGTCCAGAGAGCTGTGTGGGCCGGGGGCTTTAGGCAAGGGGAGGGGGGAGCCTACCTTTGCAGTGGGTCACACGTCGCATCCCTTGTAAAGGTCACAGAGAAAGACACAAGAACCAGGTGAGGGTTGGCATGGCTTCCTCACTTCCTGGTCTGTCCTAATATGAGTTCCCTTCCTGTTTCCTGGTGTTAACGAACAGCACCCTCTGTCCTGAATACTCTTCATGAATCAGTGCTTCTTCCTCAATGGTTGAAATGAATCAGTACTCTTTTCAGCGTGATGGTGTCAAACCCTCTGCTCCTATGTGGTGAGGGATTAAATTGGCTTGTTTTTTTCCCGCTTTGTTTAACAACCTACAAAGAAAAAACGCTGATTGTTTTTCAAGCAGGTTTTTTTTCTAACTTTTTATAACAATGTGAAAGTTAAAAAAACAACCACATGTACATGTAGTGGTGATGATTAACCCTGTAGTAATCTGATGGTTACAGTTTGCAAATAAACAAATATAAAAATAAGATATATTAGACTGTTTTATATTCGGCTCATATTTGCTATAATTAGATTTCAAGGTAAAAGAAACAAATACTAAAGTAGTTTGTTCGATGAAGTGCGTCAGTAAACTGTACACTGTGTTTGGTTGTAGCCTGAACTAAAGAGAACTGAAGCCAGGTGTGTAAACAAAATGAAAAACAGCAGTTCAATTTACACAAAAATCAATAGCATGCTGGAGAGGGAAAGTCTGATCAATACTGATTTATTTCATAGTCAGTCCCATTGTCTTGTTACTGTGTGTTTCCTGTGCTTTCTATTCCAAAGAATAAACTGTCTGTGAGATGATCCACTTGTGTTGTGTGTAGTTCTGGAAACACTATAAACTCAGAATTGAAGCTTCTTCAGCTCTTAATTATCTTTGTTGTATATCTCCTATCTCAGAAATGTCTCATAAACTACTGAAAAGATGTTAAATATCTGCCAGAAAAAATTAGAAATTGTGAACCAATGCTATCTTCCTGAGGTCGCATGGTGCTGTGCTTAGAAACATTTCCCCCAAAAGGTTTTACATAAATAAACAAAAATGTTTGGTTTGCCATGAATTTGCAGTAGTATATCTCAGTGCAGTTCGCTAATCCACGGGGCTACTTTCTGTGTTTCAGTTGGACTCTCGTTTGACAAGCGTTTGAGATGATTCGTATACATTTTCAATTCATTTGGAAAGCTCAAAACAGCGTCCACTGCTAGCTACAATTTGCCAGACTCCACGTCTCCTCAGTCTCTACACATCAGCTGGTTGTGAGATTTATTGACCCATAGTCAGAATAAGAGTATGAGACCCAAACAGAAGCGTATCGGTATAACATTAAATAGTACACAACTGAAGTTCAATGTAAACAATGCAAAAAGAGCTTAATAAAAAGGAAAGATGAACGGAAGTTTGGATGTGAAGATGCAGTAATGGATGAAGTGGACTGGTTACTTGTGAATGAAAGGATCATGGAAAGGATGAACGTTTAAGACACAACAACATGTTGAGTAGCTTCTGTCGTCCTCTGTGTGTCAGTTCAAGGCACTGATAAGTAATTCTATACTTTGAAAATTATTTTAGAAAACATGCCTTGACTAATAACTGACACAGGGGGTAACTGAGCATGTGGAGTTTAATGGATCTCAGTCGTTTGTATCACAGCATGAAACTATCATAGCTGTCAGGCTACAGAGCCATGAAGGTGCCGCTAGATCTTACCTGCATTGAACACTGGATCCCTCTGTTTGCTGCAAAGTAAATGAGTAAACAGACAGCTGTCATTCAGCATCCCGACTCCAGATACACCATTGTATGTTTTTGATTTGAAAGTGCGTCATAAGGAGATCAGCGTCTTTTCTGGTGTGTCACACTAGAAGATGAATGTGTGAGCTACTAAATGGGCAAAGTTGATTTAACAAGTCGTCCGTGTTACCTGTCATTTCGTTTGCCGCTGGAATTGCTGCCGGTGGACCCGGCACGGGTTCTGTTGCCCTTGGAGTCGCCCGAATCTTTCCGCGTAAGAGTTCCCACATGTTCGTTTGAGTTGGCTCTCCTCACAGTGCTGCGGCGAGTGGAAGGTGGACATGAGGCAAAAAGAGAACAGAAAGAAATAGGTCATAAAACTACCTGACGCTGCTTTCCTAAAACTGCACTGTGGTAAAGTTTTCATCCAAGAAATAGCTCACGAGGGAGATTTATTTATTAAGGAGTCTTAAACTTTGAGACCTTGCAGCAGCGTAAGAAAGAATTTGCACCAAAGCAAAAGAGACACAAGTAAATGTGGATATAACTTGTTTCTCAACACTTACACACTCTGGTGATCATCACCACAATGTCAGTACAGACCTGTGCAAATCTGCATATTGAATGTGCAGACAGCCTGACCATTTATAACAATGAAAAGGCTCCATCAGCAATCCAATGGCCAGTAGGCCCAGTCACCTAATCCACCCTATGGGAGAAAAGTCTATTCAAATCCTAAAACTGGCCAGTGGCCGTTATCCCTTCTGGACAGCCTGTGTGTGTTTGCTCAGTAAAGAGCAGAATAGAAACTGTTGTTTGCTGTGTTATCCCACGAGGAATCATAGTAATTGGGCCACAGGGCATTGGGGAAGGCTGTTGTGTGTATGCCAACACTGATGGGATTGTGACCAATCTGCAGTTTAAACTAATCCCAGACACAGACTGTATCAACACAAACAAAGAATGATGACCTAAACAACAAAAAGTGAATATTAGCAATGAGAGAAATGTCACAATTATCGTGTAACTTGGAGATGATTTAATAACGGAAAATCAGGGTTAGCATGCATCGGAGCTGCGATGCAGCGATGATGTTATATGGTGACTAGTGACATACTGTATCCTCTCACCTGAGGGGCAGGTAGAAAAATCTGGTAGAGCGAGACAGAGAGGACAAACTGGAGGGATTTGCAGGACATCACATTGAAGGTAGACAGGACATAAACAGGATATAACATCATAGTAGCAAAGGACACGTTATCAGAGAGAGACAGGGCGGACAAGCAAGACAGAGAAGATGGGACAGACAGACAACACAATACGTAGAGTTAAACAGACTGATGACTATTCACTCAGGCTAAAAGCTTTAAATCTATACTAATCAAAAATATAAAGGTTTCTATGAAGAGGACTGAGGATTTCACAGAAAGGCAACTGCTGCAATTTAACGTCAAGAGGATGCCCTTAAACTTTTTACATTTAAGTCAATATTCAAACCCTCTATTCAGCACAGCAGTCATTCATTAGCTTCATTTATATCCAAGCAGACACTGAGGCCATGTGCTTCACATTTTTTCTGGGAATGTTAAGGTTTAAACAACCTGGAAGAAATTTTAAAATGTTTACAAGAGGCCAATTTATTGGCTCACGACAGTATTTTTCAGCTGTATTGAATATATTGAAATTTGTCAATTTAAAGGCCAATAAATAAATGAAAAAAACAAAGGTTTTCTTATTTATCCACTAGAATTTGTTGTAGTTATTGTGTGAAAGGCTTTGAAACAGGACTAAAGTATCCTAAAAAGAAAATATAATGCAGCAGAAATTGACTTTATAAAACCCTGGCTATTCACCAAGTGAAAAACTAGTTACAGCTGAGAAAGTGTTAAAGAAGTAATTGAAAAGTCTAATTTAAGTTCAAGTAATCATGAAGTAGACCAAATCCTTCCTGCATTGATACGGTCTGTCTTGGTGTTTGTTTCTATCAACCATCCTCATACTGGTTACATTTTAATCTGCAGAGCCATTTCTTTACTGTCCTCTTAGGTAAACCTTAAGGTGAGATTCAGCATGATAAAGTGTCAACTCTAAGTCCTGGAAAACCTCCGTGAAGAAGAAATAAAACTACATATCCTGAAAATCAAGGAAACAAGGCCACAGGGAAGTTAACAGCTGCTTGGATTGGAGCTGGTCACTGCTGCCCGCTGAGCTTCATTTGATTCTGGTAATGTTCCTCCAGAGACGGGAAAAGGCTATTGTTCCCCTGACAGACAAGATTGATAACCTGTGCTCCACGTGCATGTGCACACACACACACACACACACACACACACACACAAAAGAGAGAAGCCGAGATGACACTACCGTTTCTCTGTTTATCAGCCTGGTTAAATGTCAGTCGCTTTGGCTGATAAATAGCCAGATATGTGACAATTTACGGGTTGAATGATCCGACATGGCACAGACAGACAGGACTGAACAATGTCTCGAGACAAATCAAATGTCTGGAAAGACATATGACACACGCAAGACATCACAACTGGCCTACATGCAGCTTTATCTGGATTTAACACACTTAGAACAGTGTTAATAAGACCTGCAGGTTCAGTAAAGTGACACTGAACTCGAGACATTAAGACCAAACACTCGACTTGACTTAGAGCTGTAGTGCAAACATTCATGTCTCTCTCCTTTAGAATAAGTAAAAATAAAATGTGAATGACCTCCTTAAAAGTCTAAATAATGTAATAGATAAAGGATAATAGAATAATATAGAACAGACTGCATACATATAATTTACAAACTTCTCTAGAGAGCATTATCTTTTCTTTTCCTCACCTCTTGCTGGATGGAGTGCTGGTGTCCTTCCTAGATCCAGATCCAGATGGGGAGGGCAGAGTGCCGCTGCCTTTCTTTGGTAGAATGGTCCCGTTGTTTACTGTGGGCCGTAACGGCAGGGTGGCGATCATTGGCCTAGCTGCAAGGAAAAAGGACAACAACCGGCATATTCAGAATAAAAAGCTGAAAAGAAGACCAGCAGCAGGGTCAGCTGCTGTGGTGTCATTTGAGATACCACATTCACTTACAGACAGATTTCTACTCAGGTTGAGTGTCAACAGAATGAAACAGAATGCTAATTAGTGAGATGAGGTAAAAACTGGCGTACCAGGAAGGTAGGTGTAGTGGAAGGCTTCCCAGCATGCACTGGGGTAACAGGTTTATTGACATCACTCTCTATTTATGCATGTTTCTACAACATTACCAGTATTATTGGGTTTGATATTTTGTACCAAATTGTTCCCACAGTTCACCGGTTGTTATTCCAGTCAGTATCATCAACCATGCTCTTCAGTGAGAGTTCAAAGAGACAGGAAATAACTGCACAGTGTTCTAAATCTTAAGACACATGAGATTCCTACACCAGAGACATCCTAAATGTAATGCAAATGTGAATTCACACTTTGTTTCTTATTCTCAGTTTATTGAGAATATTGTTCGGTTTCAATCACGTTTCCATACAGATGATATATGTCTACAAATTATTTATAGAAGGCGGTTTGACAACACGAAAGGGGCATGAACACAGGCAAGCCTGAGAATAACAAAGTCAAGCTGCAGCTCTATCTGCATTGATACATATTTAATAGACCCTGTTTCATCCAGCAGACGCACACACACACACACACACACACACACACACACACACACACACACACTGCTCTTTTATCTTTTATGTAGTAATTATGCAGCAGGGGCAAACTGAGGTTGTAATTTAGGTTAGCATGTTAAAGAAGATGAATCTGTATGTTAATGTGTGTGTCCATGATTGTCCAGAAGCAGTCTGTGGTATGTGTTGAGCTTTCTAAAACAGATCATTGTGCTTCAGTAGAGGGGAGCAGGCTGCTGAATCCCTGCAGCTAAAGGTGGAGATCAATAAGAGAAAGCATCTCCGGAGTCTGGGTCATCCTTCAGCTCCCGAATCAAATCAAACTAAAACTCCATTGGTTCACAGTCGCTCCAGAGACTGAAACTGGCAGCAGCTCAGATTCATAATCTGTTTCTGTTTCATCACTCAAATGCACATTCGAGGGCATAAAAAGGCATGATGTTCAGTTGATTTCACATGCAGAGTTCATCAGCCTCTGGGGTAAGGATGCTACTTGAGAGAAAAATTGTATCAAACATACCTCAGCTGAAATTAGACACATGCAGTATTAATACACAAAAAAACACCACAAAAGCAGAAAAGCGTATCATCGATCAATCTATTATTGTTCAGTTCTTTCTTATTCCTTGATGAAGTGTTGTATTTATTTAGTTTTTTACTTTCTACATTCCTCAGAGAAAATACGAGAAGAAGCTGCGTTCAGCTTAGTGATATCAATTGGAGCAAATGGCAGGTTTTTCAAGTTAATAATTAAGAGCTGTGCTTTTGAATGTGAGAGTTGTTTCAACTCTAACTTGATGGAACAGTTTGACATTTGGGGAAATACGTTTATTTCCTTTCTTGCTGAGTTTTATTTGAAGATCAATATCACTCATGTCAGTCTGTTCAATATAAGGCTACAGCCAAAAGCTGGTTAGCTTAGCTTAGCACAAAGACTGGAAACAGGGGCAAACTGTTTCATCTTTTTAGAAGGAATAAATCAAAATACACCGACAACAGCTCCTTCTTGTTAATAGAGAAAAAAAATGTTAGGGGGGATTGTCCTTTAACAGAAAGGTTGCATACACAGAGGCAAACACAAAACATTTTTTCACACTAAGTTGTGACAGTTCATTGATAACTTAATATTATCAATGAATTATTGGACTATATGCACTGCAGACCAAGTTCCCCTGGTTGACAATAAATCTTTTTTGAAATCTGTGTCTTTAGACTCTGATCACAGTGCATTGACCTCAGGCAGTGCAGTGCGTAAAGTATCTGTGTGTTTCCTCGAGAAATACTACACTGTGTATACAACATAACACTAGCAGGCAGTGACTGAAATTAGCCTTTTGTAAACACAACACCAAGCCTGGTTAGTGCAGACAGACTTCGCAGTCAGCCTACCTGGCTTCCCAACACTGCTGTCTGCTGATGGAGACTTTCTCATCAGAGCAGCATCTATACACATGAGGAACATTTAACCACACAAAACAGTCCAGGAGGAGAGAGGACAGGAGGAAGAGGAAGGAAATAAGCTGGATTTAGAGGAAAGGAGACATCACCAGGAAAGAGAAAGAACAAAGTGAAAAAGGAGAAAAAGGGCTACCAGAAGAGCTGCTGATCCTGTTGCCCAACCCTCCAGAAGAAGCAACTCAAAACCCCATGAAAAAGCATGCTTGTGTATCTACGTTACCTTTGGTGGGTCCTCTGCGTAAACCCATGGCCTGCTGCTCCTCGGACACGTTGAGCCTTCGCACCACGTCGGCCAGAGCCGACTTCAGCAGCTGAATCTCGTCCTCCTGCATCTGGACCCTCTGCTCTAGGGAGGCGATGCGGTCGGTAACCTCCATACTGCTGGCTACTGACGCACTGTCATCTGAGGAAACAGTGAGTGTCATGTCAGTTAGTGCATGAAGAGCTGCTAATAGAACATATTCTCTTTAAAGGAATAGTTCAACATTCTGGGAAATATGCGCTTTAGAGGACAAAATTGATACCACTCTCATGTTTGTCTGTTCGATAAAAAGATACAACCAGATGATGGTTAGCTTAGCTTTTGCATTTTATTATTTAAATTAAGAGTGTTTAATAATCAATTCCCCCAAAAGAGCTTTTCTATGCAAACTTTTATACATGAGTCCGTTTGTTAATGTCTGTCTGTTGTTTGAGTTTAAACTAACACGTTATTATCGCCTCTCCACCTGACACCCCGATAGAGGCCAAGCACAGGCCATCAGGGGTCTCCTCCATTAAGACTTTGATGTCACAGTGGCTCGATGAAATATTAATGTAAATCACTGCTGTGTTTCCCTGCCGACTTGTAATAACAGTCTGATGCATTATGCATTAGTGAGCAGGCATCTGGTGATTAGGCAGATCTGCAGTCTGTGGTCCTTCTGAGAATCCGAGCTGAACCTCGACCGCCTGGTTACATTATGGAAATCTGATGAAGCTCTTGGCTTCTGTAAATTACATTCTTAAACAATGAAGTACAACAGCGTTTAAAACACACTGAATGTGTGAAATATCTGAATTTCTGGTGTAAACAAAGTGATGTGATGAGCCTCTGAGTCTCTGTGATAAACAAAAGCTGCTCAGGGGATTCAGGACATCCCTGACCAGATTTCCTCAAATATTTGCTTTTAGATAAAAAGATCCTTTTGGAGCGTATGCTATCAACATAATTTTAATCTTTGCTGCAATAACACACTTGGGACTCAAGACATAACGACTTAATATAACATAAAACCATGAAAGTAATATGATGTTCTCAACAGCAAAGGTGTTTATCATGCAAGAAGTGTAATACAGATGTTTGTTGCTCGTCTCACTTGACAAATGATTAATATACAGTAGATTAGGCAAAAGACTATGTCAATCATTTCAAAGCAAATACATTTTTTGAGTAATTTCTTAGTAAAATTACCAAAATATATCACAAAATTCAGCATATTCAGGTAGAAAACCCCCAAAACTTGCAGTCATACTTTTCATCCTGATACCATGAACCATGAAAATCGTACACATTTCATTCTTGATGAGTAAATAATTATTGAAATGCTGTTGAACGTGAGTCTCTGTGTTTGCAAGACCGTCACACACGTTTTATGCATCACAACAAGTATCCAGAAGTATATAATCCCACAAGGTCCTATGAAGTCATTTTAATTTAATTGGCAGAACATGCCGGAGAGGCAATTTCACAGATTTGTTTATGAATCCCATTAGTGAGCAAAATCCTCATGCCTGTTAGCGGGTTATGAATTGTTTTAGTCGGGGGGACCGTCAATAAGACAGGATGGTAAATTGGTGCATTAAGCAGATAGGACACTTGATGCTTGTAGCAGAAAATAGAAATCTGAGCAGATTCAGAACAGACATTACTGTACACATAGACGCACACCCGCTACAGTGTGCATGTATACACACACATAGTATACACACAAAGGTGCCCCTTTAGTCAGTGTCACAGTGATTAATAGCTTATTGGACACATAAGGAAAGATTTCACAGACACACTGCTTCACATTGACAATGCACCGGCCCCGCAAGTGAGATTCCATAATGAAAACTCCACATCTGGACGAATGGAGGCAGATGAAAACGGCCGGTGCATAATTTGATACATTACACTCCCAACAGTGAAGTGTAATATGCTCATACATTCACTCACAGACAGATTTCTACTCGAAGGAGGAAATGCTTTTTTTTTTCTTTCATAAGGCACAACACCAATCTCACTTCATCTGAACACACAAAGCCCTTTCCAGAGGATCTTAATAACTTTCTGCTCACCTGAGACGCTCTCTTCAAAGCAGCCCTTGTTCATATACATGCGAATGTGAGTCAATATCCAGAGAAAAACATACCCTCCGACACAGAATCAGGGTTATTAAATGAATATATTTCAAAAAGGAAATATACTCACTAGAATGCTGTTGAAGCAATGGTTATACGTATGTCATCTAGACATCTGATAAACTCTGACTTTACAACCAAATATAACCATGTTTTCTCTGTGGTAAAGCCGGCATAGGACCAAGCTGTTACTTTAGAAATGGTGACATCATCTGTGAGATCAAAGAGCATAAGGTGTGGAGAGGAGCTTAATATAATATCTGAACTGTGACATCATCAGTGAGCAAAAACAACAGCTTCTGTTCAGCATCGGTTGTGGGTCTGCTCCCAACACGGACACAATGAGAGCATGATACCAGTCGCTGAAGTACAATGACTGGCTGTCACCGACATGATTCCCCGGCTCTGCGCTAACATCCTCCGTCTGTCACCCTGCGCCACGGTTGAACCCTCTGGGTGCAAGTTAACACCCCCTTATTGCGTTCACAAGCAAGACGGAAATCGGGAAAGGTCAGTCGGAGCAACAGTTTTGTGTTTTATACAGGAGAATATGTGTTGATGATGGTGTTACACTGATGTGACCACAGCACAGTTGTGTCAGTTGTGTGTGTGCTCTTCATGTGACAGCACTCTCTGGGGCTCAGGTCACAAGCTTTCTGTCCAAAGAGTCAGAATGAGTAAAATGTCAATCTTCATTTGACAACAAATCCATCAGCACATAAACCAACGGACCCTCGTGTCTCTCTTTTATCCTCACAAAAGCAGATGATTACACCCCACCAGGCTGCTCTCGCTCCAGTGCTCTCACACCTGTCAGCCGACTGCGTAAATTACTTCATTTCTGTCAGTGTTTTTCAGCTTCTCTCTGGATGTCTTTTTTCTGTCCCCGTTACATTATCTGCTCAATATGTGGCTGGGCCACAAATCCGAGACGGATCTCTGAGCCTATCTATCTGTCCACTCTAATGCATCGTGACACGCTGCTCCCCATTAGGTTGCTCTGCAAGGCGATGTTATTCTGGCAGGACCACCTGCCGGCTTGTCCATCACTTCAGCCGGGGACAGGGACTCAATGAAGGGCAAATACAAAAGAGGCGTTCTCCTCAGCTCATTTTCCCTGCTCTAAAATAACCACTCCATCCCCCCTGCGTTCATCTCCACCTTATTTCTGAGTCATCTACTGACCTCATTGCCATCAATAATGAACACTGGAGCGTGCACACACGCTCTGAACCATTTACCCCCTTCTGCACTCTAAACCACAAAGATCAATAAACTGAAGGAGTAAAAAGACTGAAACAGTCCAGCGTAAATGCTTCTGATCAGTACGGAGGGAGCGTTGTCACGTTTTGAGCAATGCATGGCAACCTCATGTATATAATATCTTCTGCTGCAGCCCTGTGTTGATCTGAGCTGTCTGGCTTTCTGGCTGACTCACTCCGTCACTGGAGCATTTACAGACTTGTACTTCCTATACTATATAAACACACGAGGATAGGAATATAAATACACACTCAAGGAATAAAAGAAAATTATATTAAGGAAATTCCCTCTGAGCAAATGTCATGACCAGCTGTCTCACCATGTGTTCGCATACTCCTGCATACTTTGATCCACTAATGACAACCAGAGTGAATGATGCCTGTTTTCTTTTCTCTCAGCCGTGCAGAGAGGCCAAACAATAAAGCTCAATTGACTTGTGGAAAGTTCAGCGGCCAGGTTAAGCTACGCCACAATGGATGGTTTTGAAAAACAGCAACCAGTGTTTGCTGAAAATCAACACGCCAAAGAAACCCAAAGCTGCAGGAAATGAACTGTCACAACATTATGACAATAATTCCTGTTTTTCAGAGACAGAAAACGAAGCGCTGATACCACACTGCTGGCACATCTATCTCTGAATGCAGAAAGCACTTTGCCAACTAGTTTTAATTTCCATACATGAATGCACACGGCCAGGTGGTGCGCTGCCGTAGTGCCAGTTCAACTGCTGCATATTATGTTTTTAGGAAAGTAATTTCTCCCAAGACCAATGAGTCACACATATTAAACAACCTGACTTCAGTCTGCGGCTGGCTTCACTAATGGAAGTCCAGACCTAATCATAACCAAGTGGCAGGCAGGATTAAATGTAATGCCAGGAGGTAAAGCAGGTAATGATTCAGAGACAGGCTGGGAAATACGGAGTCAGGGATGAATAAGAGTGAATGCAGGTGGGGCAGAGAATAGTGTTGATAATAAAACAAGAGTCTACAGACATGCTATCAGCACTGTGGGGCTGTAGTTAGGCATGGTATGCTAACATGATAAAATGACAATGCTAACATGCTGACGTTTGACATATTGTTTACCACGTTCATCATCTTAAGTTAACATGTTAGCAGGCTAACATATGCTAATAAGCAGTTAACACAGAGACAGCTGAGGATGACATTATTGTCATAAAACAAAGTTTTGGACACATTTTACAAGATGATGGCGCTAGAGGAAAAGCGAGAAGATCACTTAAGTTATTACAATTCATCCACTGGGGACCATGAATGTGTGTACCATATTTCATAGCAATCCATTAAATCTATGTCAAGGCATACCACTTAAAGTCACAAGTTCCAACCTCATTGTGACACTAGAGGAAACGTCACCAAGGCACGAGGAATCATCCTCATCAGGGCCATGAATGTCTTTCTGATGGCAGTACCATTCAATAGCTGTTGAGATATTTGAGTCTGGACCGAAGCGGTAGACTTACCAACAGAGCCACGTGGCTGAAACGCAAATATAACATAAATGTCTGTGCTGCTGAATGACACATTTCAGAGTTATTCAGATATATGGCAGAGTACTAGACATGAAAAATGCCATGCTTGAAATTGCAGCATTTAGGAAATCACAGTCTGCCTCAGGTATGAAGGAAATCGTCAATCATCATCCAGGGAAAAATCGCAAAACCAACTGAGTTAGAGATTGGAGAAAGAATTGAGAAAGAGAAAAATGGAGGAAGAAAGAGTTACTTAACTGCCATCAATCCTGTGTGTCACCTGCAGCGAGCAGCAGATGACCCGACAGAAGTGTATTAGCTAATCAACTGTCCAGATTAGGGAGACAGACGCTTGGTTTACAAGCTGCCTCTGATGGCTTTTGCTGGACCGGGGCTTAGGAGCTATAAATACACAGAGGTGGATCAGAGGAGGGGAAGCTCTCACACACGACCCGAGTGAAGACTGCAGAGGAGAAAATGTGCATGTGTGTGTGTACAGATCATAAATAGTGTGTCGGGGTCAAAGAGGAGCATGAAGAGAGGCCAAATAATCCCCAAGAGAGATCCAACTGTCCTTGTACGAACACATTAAACCCTTCCTTCCTCCCATCAGCTACATCCTTCCTGGGGGCAAACTCAGGTCAAATGGGAGACAGCTCCACCCCCTTGCTGCTCTCACCATCACTCTGATTCCCACTCACAAAGCATTGACACTTACACACATAAACTTGTAAAACCACTGAGCAGAACATGGTATGGCTGAGTAGATGATGGGATGATGCAACAAACGCCATCAGCGTTTCAAGTCTGCCTGTACAGAACCGTAAGGGATTGTACGCCATTGATTCGGGGGGTTGTGTATTTGTTCTTATTGCTAATTGGAGGGGAGGGTATGCTGGGCTTTTTTGGGAGAGCATTGCAAATGGTCGTTCTAGCAGGCACAGTTGGACATAAAGGTACAACACAGTCTTATGACAATCTATTTTCTTTGCTGCTGAGTGACACTAATTGCGAAATTGGGGCGACATTGACTACAAAACGAAAGGTAGGCTTTGGCAAACCATCATGGTTGGGCTTAACACATCTATGTACAGTCCTAATTCCTAATTGACTGTCCATTGGCATTGTTTTTGTGCTGAGTGACGCGAAAAATATGCTATGTTATGCTTTGCCATATGGAGAGGTCTCTATTTCAGGGATTTATTATTCCCATTACACTAAATGTAACCTCGACCAAAAGTTGTTTCTTCTTTCTTAGACTAACAGAAATAAAATTCAGTTTCTTTTTCATAACATCGCAAATCTGTATTATTAAATCATCACAAATTTGTATTATGCAATACTAGAGGGAGGGTTTTGCAGTTCTTTTTCCAAGGCCAAATAAATATTTGAAGAATCTGAAAGCCACAAAGAGAAAGAGATAAGGGGGAAAAAGAAGAAGTAGAAAGACATGGCCCATTGAGGCAGAATACCTCATCCTTAACTCAAACAGTTACTGTATATATACACACCACTATCCCAACACCCTGCTTTGACAAAACACACACACACACACACACACACACACACTCTTGTCTGTCAAAGAGGAAGTGTTCACAGTGTGGCAGAGGGATTATGTTGGACATGTGGAGCAGATCTTGCTCAAAGCTAGTGATCCCTAAACTCAGAGGTTCTGATTTTAGCAGCAGGCTTGATTTGTATTCCCTCTCTCCTTCTCTGCATCTGTAACCTCTTTCACCTCTCCCTCTATTTGTCTGTCTCCCTGTCTCTCAGGAAACTGTGGTGGGAGGGATTCCTGAAACAAGACAAGAATTGACTGTGGGAAGCAAAAGAGCCGCTGAAGGATCTCACTTAAAAGAGGGCTGGGCAGTAAAATATTTCTTATTGTATTGCTCTAATATTTGTCCCTTGTTTCTCTTGCTCTCGTCTATGTTGCTTAAATGAATAAGTAGCTCATCGGTAGACTGTTTAGTAGGCCGTGCAGGCTTCAGAGTGTGGGATATTTGGACCATCCTTGTTGTGGTTATAAACAAATGGACAGCCATAAGAATTAGATTGACTTTTTGTCAATAGCAAGTGCAAGATACAACATAGATAATATTATAATATGGTTTTTGGAGGATAGTTTAACACAGATTTTAAAAATAATTAATCTAATCTCTTGAATATTTTCATGAAATCAAACTCTATTTATGCATTAACAGTGTGTAATTACATTTCCATATAGTGGTATTCATGGCTAGTGACTGAGTCTGCCATTCCCATGCTGGATTCAAATTATCTTCACTTCCATGAGGGACAGTGATCGTGACACAGTTTGGGCTTTAATCTGTCTCTCTGCATGCAGAAAAGGTCAACACGTGAAAAAGCCTTTAAATAACTTTTATTCATCAGGTCTTCATATGGCTGCATGGTGACAGAAAGGGTTGAAGGATAAGCAGCCTGCACACACTTCTGTGAATAAGTTTGCTTTATGAACAAATCACGAGGGTGTGCAGCTATGATAATACCATAATAATAATGGCCGTAATATTGTAAACAGACAGCCCTAGTCTCTGAATGACAAAGAAGCTCTTTGCTGACTTATAAAAACTGGCCAATACAGAGTACCGATCTAGTATATAGTTATTATATAAACAATCAATCCCATTGTCACAACACACAGCTATTTGAGTTAGTATCGGCCCGATATTTGATGTCTGAATCGGTGCATCTCTACTCAGAAGAACAACAACATGCTAAATTCTACATGACATCTCTGTCTAAACTAGAACAAACTAAGAGAATTGACCCCAAAAACAGAAGCAAACAGCTGAAGAAATATACATTTCTTTTTGCTGTGACTTTTCAGGGAAGAAACAGACTACAGAAGCGTCATGCTTGGCAGTGAGACTCCTGCTCTGACAAAAGCCTCTTTCTCAGTCTAAACCTTTCTCCACATCAAACAGGGCTTTGTCCCTCAGTAACAAACAACCAGGAAGGAACAGGAGGCAGGACACATGTTCAATCCAATGTGTGTGCGTGCGCAATCGTGTTGTTCCATCCAGTAACAGTGTTGTTCGCTGGTGTGAGGATGGTCTCACACACACACAGAGACGCTGTGACAGAGCATGTGTGCCAGAGACTGTCAGCATCCTGAACATCGGCCAATGGTATATATCTGCCATCTGGACGGGAGAGAACATACATGCTGCTGGCAGCAGGCGAGATCATTGCTAGACTGACATATTAAGACTTTCTTGTTTGATTTTTGGTGTGTCTCTGCAAACTTGACCTCCCAATACGCTCACACTTGAGGTTTTTTTGTGATGATTTACTATCCTGGTGTTCTGGCTTTCCACTCAACCAGTAACGTCTGCTCTTACATGCAGTCTATTTTTATAAACAGAGCTTTGACATCACCCAGAAAACACACCTGAGCCTGTCACATCCCGCTATGTTGAGCTTGAGTGAGCCATAAAGCTCACAGGGCCACATCATTATTTTTTCTTTGCTCTCTGTGGTGACAGTGGACAGTTGTGAAGGATAGGTGTTAAATCAAGCCGACTGTATAAGGGATGTTTTGCAAGTATTCTGCTTTGTCATGAAATTAAATACTTCCATATTCCCAAAGTGGGGTGCCTTAAGAATGAGCCACGAGTGCCGCAAGATTTACCAAATCATTGTTCCTTTATTGTGCGTGGTATTGTGTGTTCCCATCATCATATATGTGAGATCCAGCTCCGTCGTCCCTGCTACAGTATACATGCAAACAAGAAGTCAGACCTGCTGACTGCGCTTTCTCTCCCAACATCAAGAGCAGGCTCACATGTCCCATTAAAAAGTTTTTGTTTTGTTTGTCCCTGTGCACTCTAAATTATAAAATGTATTATTTATTTCAAGTACATTTTTATTTGTAAATCGACAGAGCACCTGTTGGCTTTTACTCTGAATAATATATTTCTGGCTGAATAACCTTCACTGTAAAAATAAAGTCCTTACTCGAGAACAAAATGTGACATTTGCCACTGATTTCTGAAAACAAAATTTGAAAATTGACAAATTGACAACAATATGTGGAAAACAAACCAAATAATCATATCCATCCTCTTATCTCTGCAGCTGTGCTCTTGATGGATCTATTTTTAATGGAATTCCTAATGGGATTCTCCTCTTTTCCCTCTCCATCTGTTACAGTCCAACTGAACACATGCAACGGGGGATACACACACAAACACACACATATGCAGAGTCGGGGCTTTCCCCCTGGTTCCTCCATTAACAGCGGGTGTAAGAGACCAATTAGGGTACTGGGCAGCCTCTGAGAGCTGCACCACGGGCGCCGAGAGGTTAATTATTTCTGTTCGCATCACAACTGGCCAAATGAAATCCTGACCAGGGTTTAGAGATGAGAGCGACCAAATCAGTGGGCCGTGAACTTCGGCCCACTGGAGACAATGTGCTGATGGAGATGATTACCATAAATATTACCGAGCCCACACTCACCTTGCCACAGTAATTGAATTGATCATTAATTAGTCTGAAACAGTTTGATGACCTGCTGTGGGATTAAAACGGAGATTTATGTAAAGACATTCAAATGCACAGATATGCATGTGCACATGAATGTGGACTCAAATACCTGCGCTCATGCATGCATCATGTTTCTGGCTCTTTCATGGCCTTTTTACCCATCCTTGACATCCTCTTCAAGGACTCATGCTGTGTCTCCTCTCCTGACCTTGTGATGGTATGCACACATGCACACACGCACACAAAAATACATAACCAGGGAGTGCTTCCCCCTTTCATGTTCAACTGCCAGAAGCAGGGTCAGTATATATATTTAGCACAGGAACTCACACACTGTTTTAGTGGGTCATGAAGATGAGGCTGCGTCAATGTGTGTCAGTGGAGGAGAAGATGAGAGAGAGAGAGAGAGAGAGAGAGAGAGAGAGAGAGAGAGAGAGAGAGAGAGAGGAAATACTCAGTTCAGACAACAAATGGTATCTTCTGCCCGCTGGCTCACCAAGAGGCTGTTTTCCATGAGTACGCTGACTCTGACCTTGTTTCTAAATAAAACATAAGGTATCACGTGATCACCACAACATACGTGACAAGACTTGTGTAACTTAAGAGGAGAAATTATTTTATAGAGTTTTATAGGCAGCTGATATCAAATGATTTATTAGGTTTATTAGGTGACAAATGATCAGCTGTCACCTAATGAACGTATCAAATATTTGATACATTGTAATACCGATCATTTGTCACCTAATTTAACAACAGTTGAAGCTGTATTTAACCACAAAAACAGCAATAGCAATTTCAGTTTTGTGACTGAAGGGTGGATTTAAATTGTTTAAAGTTGCTTTTTTGATATTTTATTAATCTTTCAAGTAATTTTTTCAAGCAAAATGCAGAAAATGATCCGGTAACAGCTTCTTAAATGTGAACATCTGCTGTTGAGGAAACTAAGTATCTCACTTAGTTTTTCACACAGTCAGCGACAACTAAAGGGCTCTGTGAAATTATAACCGGCTATTAAATTACCATTAGTTGCAGTTCTAAACATTACGTATAATCATAATATTTTTGTTTGGGAAGTAGATTATGAAAATGAAAATGATTACTCAGTCACTGCACCTATAGGTCTATTCACTGGCATTGCTCCGCATGAATGTAACATTGATACTGGACAGATGTCAGTAAATTGTTACTTGGGCTCTACACATTTCTGCTAAAATACCAACCTGAGCTGCTGCTTGCTACTCAGTGTGATTTGACCCTGACTCAGTATGATGCTGGTAAATGGCCTAATCTTTCTCTTCTGTGCAGAAACAACATATTCTACTTACAGATAGATTATCCTTACATATACATATATAGAGTATGTCTATAGAATACCCTACAAGTATTTAAGGCACATGAATAGAGCACGATACCAGTGTCGAGGGCTGGCACTACGTGTAACCGTAAACAGCTCTCTATTTTGTATCAATAAAGTGAAAGAGAAAGTGTGAGGCGAACCCTTATCAGGAGAAAGGGTAGAAAAACTTTGAGGGAGATAAGGAGTGGGAGGGGGTAGTGTGACTCGTGACCACAGGGGCACAAACCAAACTACCCGCTCAATATCTGACACGTCTGGAGATTTAAAAAAAGAAAAAGAGAAGCACTCTAAGCTCCACTCGGGGCACTAACACGAGATCAAATAAAGAGCGTGAGAGAGTTTGACGTAGGGATGAGGCCGAAGAGAAAACAGAAGGAGCTTGAGAAAGACAAAAAAATAGAGCAAAAACAAAACTCCCCAGAAAGATATGCAGCAGCATTGAGTGAGGCTGGAATGAGATAAAAAGAGTGGCGTGTGCTCTCACGGACACAGCAGTGGAAAATCAATGTCAACCTTTAAATGAATCAGCTGTGTTGGATGAGCTATCCCATTTAGGTCGATATTTATTAAACTGCTACATGTTACAGTTACAGATGAATGGTAGAGAGACACGTCGTTTCCTAATACTCCCGTCTCCCCCCGTTTCTCTATTGACATTTTGTGCAGTTTTATGTGAGGTGGAGGAAAATGTCAAAGCGCCGGTCAGCTTGCCAGCAGGTTTTACCAGGTATTGATGTAAAAGAGCAGGGCAGGAGGAGAAAAGAGGAAGAGGAGGAGATATTTCAAGGCGAGAGTCAGTACTTGTGGATTTAACCTCAACAGGAAGGTGTAACACAAGCTACTTTGATTTCTCACTTTAGGAAGCAATTTCCCACCACGATTTATAGTAAATCAAAGAGAATAAAGGCCCTATCGATTTCATTTGAACTGAATCTTCACTAAACTGAGGAAAACAAAACACTTCACCCACACACACGTGAACCATCATCTCCCTCTGGCAGCCCTCCTTGGCTACTGTGGCTGGTAACGTGAGCAGGGCTTTAATCCTAATCCCTCCACACGTGCCATCATCAATCAGGTCTTGGATGGAGATACCTAGATGCTCAGCCAAGAAGGGGAGGAGACTGGATGGAGTCGTGTCACCTCTACTGTGCATCAAAATACCTCCAACAAACATCAAACGAGCCTCCGTCTTTATTAATTTCCATTCTCCGCCCTGCACGCCTGACCCATCCATCTGCACTTCTAATAATTCAAACTTCCTTCCTTTCTCTCCTATGCACTCACGTTGCTGGTTTCTGTTGCTAATTTCTCTGTTTATCCCTCTCCCCTCCTCACCATGCACCCCTACACTTGTCTTGCTGGCACGTTTTGGTTCCCATCATGGTACACTGCCACTGTCAGTAAGGTGAGTGCTGTGCCAGTGTGCCTGTGGGTGTAAAGCATGAGTGTGGAGCACAGAGATAAAAGGATGTTTGATCTCAATCTGAGCAGACATCATTAAGCTCAAAAGGTAAATGAACAAATCTCCCGAATGAATGCAGGCGAATGGATTAGTTTGGATGGAGAGGCTGGGCGCTTTGAGATGAACATGAATGTGTGATCATCAGTATTACAGCGCTGTAAGTAAGCTGGATTTACTTTTTGACAGATTTTCTTACAAACACATCAGGAGCGTTTGGTGCATCAGGAGCTAATGAATGACAGATTGCATTAACTCATGACTTTACACTGATGATTGTGAATGTTTTAGCTACACATTTCACATGCTCAACATAATTGCCAATCATAGTGCAAAGCAAAGCCTTTCAAACGTTTTTAGACATCAACTTAAAGCTGCTTCAGATCACAACGATGAAACAACTAATTGATTAGTCAATCAACAGAAAATGTATTGGCCACAATTTTGACAAACATGTTATTGTTAAAGTCATTTATCAACAAACAAAAGTAAGAGTCTAAAGCCATGCTACCAGCTCTTTGTTGAGGCACAGTGATGCCATATTTACTCATATTTAATTAAGCGAGTCAGCATGCTAACATTTGTTCATTAGCACTCTTAACACAAATGGCATTTATTTCATTTGGTCATAAACCAAAGTATTGGACAACGCATTTTTCATTACATTCTGTCACTTCATAAACTAAAAAAAATTATTGATTGAGCAAATAAGGAAATAAATAATTGATGGATTAATCAACATCTATCATAATGTATCAAAGTTGAAATGTTACGCTATTGTCCCTTGGCGTTTAAAAACACTCCTTTGCGGTGCATTCAAGGGCGCTCTTACATCTGTCATTTGAGTGTCAAAAAACATTAATTTCATGTCATAATATCAACGCCAGAAGATGAGCAATAAACAGGCAGGACAATGCAGTAAAATATCATATGAATTTGGTTGCCTAATGTATAAAAACGGTTGCGATTCTTTTGTAAGTTTATTTTCAAACTGTAGAGAAATCAATGCTAATCAATTAGGAACACATGAAATCAAATTCCAAAGTTATGGTAAGAATAATGGCTGGTGGTAATGTAACAGCAGGAAAAGAAGGTAAAACAACTGGTCCTTTAAAGTGATGATAGCATCAAATGGAAGCTTTCTTTCTGAGAAAGTCTGTGAACAACACAGACTAATTCAATCAAGACTGTCCTCTTCTCCAGGACCAGTAGATTCAAAATGTGATTAAACAGACAAAATGCTTCTCTGATGGATTCACTTCCTCCATCAGCTGCAATCAGCGTGTGTGTGTCTGGGTGTCTGAGTGTGTAATGGGGCTAATTTTCAGTTAGCCTGAGCTATTCCCGACCTCCTGAGGACAAAGCATGCAGCCTGCGCGTGTTTCTGCAGTTTAGCTGACCTAGTCTCTGAACATTAGTCTGGTTGGATGGTCCGCAACACACGAGCCGAGAGAGAGAGGGAGAGGAAGAGGCGAATGAATGACATCATTGACTTTTGCTTTGAGTGGATCTGGGTTCAGCTGGACGGCAGCAGCAGAGCAATATGATATAATTTTGGCCTACAGGCCCCCCCCCCACACACACACACACACACACACACACACACACACACACACACACAC